GCAATTTGACAAGGCCATAACCTTTTCAATACTTGATATTTTTGAGTGATTCAAGTTGAAAAATGCTCTTTGGGAAGTCTACTTCAAGCTAGCTTTCAATGATCAAAGCTCAATTTTGGAGGAATGCCTTGTTTAAAATCAAAACATTCTAGGTCACTTTTGAAGAAAAAACTTAGAATTTTTCTAATTACAAAAAGTCAGCATCTTTTTCTCAACTTTGACTCATCACAACTCCTAGCTCAAGTACCTAATTGATCCCATTCTTTTCACATTGTAAATTTTGTGACCTTATCTTTCAATTGCGTCAAGAATCATTCCATAAGACCCTTTGAGTTGTGAATACCATTGATTCAAAGTTGGTACCTTGAAACTGAAGTTTTCTCCAAAGTCAAAATTTGAAATTCATAATTTGGCTCCTAATCACCAAATTTCCACGCATTTTCCACTTAAACATGATTAGCAAATATGTTTGATTCATTTAGAGCATCAAAATGCATCATTTGGATGAGTTTTGATGCACATGTGATCACACATTGTCCTGTACATAGGTGTGCATGAATTCATTTGAATTTGCATCATTCACCCCTCCTCTTGATTCCATTCACTTCTCCGATAAATACATGCTCTATTCCACTTATTTTCCCAAGCTTGAACAACCAAAATCACCCTGCCAAACTCCCTACATAACTCACTTTTTTGAGATTTCGAATTCCTCTTTTCTCCACCTTTCAATCCATTTTTTTTCATTGATCCTTCATCCTTGAACTTCATTGAAGCTAACAGAAGAAGAATCAAGCCTTGAGGTGTCCTAAATCGTGCTAACCAAGTCCAGTTTCAAAGGATTTTTCAGTTAATTTGTTCAGGTAGAGTTCTCATCAAATTGAACCAAATAAAGCCCTATTCTACTCTATTCATCCTTCTAGTTCTCACACTTCTTACGGTTTGTGTTTTCATTGAGAATTTAGAGAGATACTTGGGACTTTTGTGCTCACTATTTTTTTTGGTTTTCTTAAAATTCAGTCTTGCACAGTTTATATAAATTTAGCGCGAGGGTACCATTAGAATCGTCTTGAAGAGACGAATCTAATGGTACCAGTCTGGTTCTCTAATTTTACTGTTTGAAGAACCTCAATTTAGGGCGCCTGGAGGTTGAAGACGACCTACGTGTCGTGCTTCAGTCAATGATAGCGTGACATACGATTTTTTTTTTAATTCTATCCAATGCATCTATTTTACTGTGCGTCATAGGAACCCTTGGATCTGATTATATTCATTAATCAGACTTCATCCAAAGCGCCAGATTTTAAGTCACTTATATTTATTAAAAAATGATTTGGTGTGATTTCCAAAAAAGACCGTAATATGCACAGCACGCCAGATCCATTAGATCTATTTACTAACGCGTTTTGACTCTCATCCAATGTTCCATACTTTTTTGACTTTATTTTTGTTTTCTGATTTTTTATATTTAATTGTTTTAAACTTTAAAAAATCATAGAAAATTCATTTCTGACCCAAAAATTATGAAAAAATTCACAAAAATATTTTTTTAATATTCTCTTTCTGATTTTTATTTTTTCATGATTTTATTTTCAGATTTGATATTTCTTATGATTTTTTTCATTGTTTTAACTTGTTTTTAATTGTTTAAAAATACTTCTTGGTATTTTTTAAATTCTAAAAAAATTCATCAAGATCATTTTATTTATTTCTGACTTTCTGAAATTTTTTCTAGAATTTTATTTTGAATTCCACTATTTTTTATATTTTTTCATTTATTTGAGTGATTTTAATTTGTTTAAAAATACTTTTCTGTTTTAAAAAATTACCAAAAATTTTATAAAAATATTTGAGCTCATTTCTGATTTTTCTATGGTCTTTTTAAAATTTTCTTTAATACTTTGAATATAGTTTGCCATTTTACCTTTTATTTTCATTTTAAAAACAATTTAAAAGTCATTTTTCTTCTTTTATTTTATTAATTAAATTAAATTTATTTATTTTAGATATTCTGGCTATGTGATTGTTGATCATAAACTTCATTAACATCATTGGATCTTGAGTGTTGAGTTTAACTCCACTAAAATGGATGAATGATTTTAATGATAGTTTTGATTAAATTTTTGATTCAAATATATCCCCTCCTTCATCTTATTCCCTTCTCTTTTGTATTACATGTTGTTAGAGGATGATCTATATATCGTCACTCCAAACATATGGCACATAGATTGCTATTGACCGGCCTCAAAATAGGTATGACTTCTATATAAGTCCACTTACGATTGCTTAACATAATGCTAAATTTTATCCCGATTCGAGAAATGATCATTTGTGGCCCAAACCTATGTTTGTAAGCCCAAATATGTTTAATTTGAAACATTTGATCTAATAACCTTGAGGTTCATTATTAGGAGGTTTTGGTCTTATCAATCCTCTAATGAATCATCATAAATTTTGGACTAAGTGAATCATTTAAACATCGTTGATCATTTATTGTTGCCTTGTCAATTTGAAAATAATGATATACTTGTCAAAAAGCAAATGAAACTTATTATTGAGAGGCTTTGATTTTATCAATATTCTAATAAGTTTTCAGATGCAAGTTTCAAGATGGTCATTCAACTAACCTCTAATTTCTAATTCATTAACAATTTACTTTTATTTCTATGCCCTTACTTTATGCTTTTACTTTAAACACCATTTATCTTAGCATCTTCGTTTCATGTTATTTTCATCTTTACTCACTTGAGCATTTATTTTTATGTCATTTTGCTTTGCTCACTTGAGTTTTTCATTTTCTTTTTGAAGATACCTAATAACTAACTTGAACAATATAAAAAACTTTAAGGTTACTTGGACTATTTGGTTAGTATTCTTGACATTTTGGAGTTATGGACTTCTCGGACTTAGAATTAGAGACCTTACCTACCTGAAGACCTTGTGATTTATATTGTTATTTTGTCTTGAGTTCTTGGGGTTTACCCCAAGACATTGGGTTGTTTGTTTTCTTTGTGTGCATATTATTTTGATTATATGCTTCGTCTATAATTGGGAATTCATCTGTATATAGTCGTTACTCTGCCCAATTTTTGTGAAGACTTAATACATTTGAAGCTTGATTTTCTTAAGAGGTTTATTATCTTTGATAGTTTGGTTTCAATTCAAAAGATGAGAATTTTACATTGACTCATTATGTTAAGTGTTGGCTTCTTATTGGTTAGACGATTCTTTTCCCTAACTTTTACCTTATGCTTTAGGATAGTCCCTTCATCTCCTCCCATCTTCTTTAATTTAAAAAAAAAATCTTCTCCTTCCTTTTGAAAATTCTTCTTGTTTTTAAACTTGAACCGCTTTCACAATAAACTTGGACTTAGGTCCTTGCATTTTCAAAATATTTTCTTAATCAAATATTAACCAAGTTAATCATACTTTGACATTTTTGTGAGAAGACTAAAAGTCAATCAATCTCATTCAAACCATTTTGCCATTTTGGCTTTTTACCTTTAAATTTTCTTGAAAAATATTAGACTCTTGTCAATCCTTGTAGTGATGCGAACTACTATACTTCTACGATATGTAGTGAAGTGAGATATTTTCCACTTGAGTGTTGAGTGAGTCTTTATTGATTTTAAAATCCAAGCTATATCCTCCACTTTGAGATGATGCAAATTATCCTTTCTCATAATTATGGATAGTAAGTATGTTCTTTCACTCGGATATGACGATGATGTCTCGTCTCTTAAAATTAACCAACACACTTGTGTTTTAAAATTTTATAGGTGAACTACGAGTATCATGATCCCCTATTACACGGAAGGTGGTATGTATGCACTAAAGGTTCGCAACTGCGGCGGGTGGAAAATTTGTAAAAAAAATACTTCTTTTCTCATCCCCACCATCTATTTTTGTATACAACATTTATAGCCAAAATACACATATTTTCAAAGAAGTTCCTACGGAGTACCATATATGTTTAGGGTGCTAATATCTTTCCTTTGCATAACCAACCCCCGAACTTAGATTCTCTCCCCCTCTTTTTGGGTTATTCGCTATTTTCACATTCCTTTGGAAACAATAAAACGCGTTGGTGATTTTTATTTGATTTGTCAATCCAATTGGTTTGTATCAACATTTCTACCGCTGCATAAATTAATCAAACTAACATATTAAGCATTTGGTACATAAAATATCAACCACCCCATACTCTAAACACAAGATAATTACCAAGCATCTGCAACTCAATACTTGATTCTGAAAAATAACCCTGCGTCAACCTAACATAAATCTCAAAAATATCTCATCTTCACTCAAAATTCAACAGCATCATCACATAAGTCGTGCAATATCCAGAACTTCTAACAGTTTTAATTATAAAGCAATGCCCAAACAAACCAGATTATGACATTCAATGCAATTGGCAGTCAAGACTCGATATGGTTGAACATGTATGTGATCTTGACTTAGTAATTCAAATCAAATAAATTGGAATAACATAGAAGCTTTTGCACAAAGAACTCCTCCAAGGAATATAAGGGAACTTGCTGGATCAGAAATGCTACTCATATTCTTGTACTATGCAATATCACCCCATAAAGACACAACAATGGTCTTCTTGCTGCAATGTCAAGCAGTGTTATTTTAGTTAGTATTACAGGATAACAAAATGCAAAGCACTGTAAATAATAAATAAAGTCCATTATATAATTTTAAAGTCACATAACCTGTTGTGATCTCTTTAATCTCCTGCATAAATGCGTCCAAGAACTCAAAGAGTGGATCAAACCATCTTCCATCATAAACCAACTCTGCATATTTTAGGGTTAAAAAGAAATCAAGGTTAATCAAGAAAAAATATGATCAAGGTTAATAAAAAGCAGTTTGGTTCCTCAGCAGAGATCTGAGAATAAAGCAACACAAGAAAAGACAACCAGAAACCGAAAATCAAAATTATGTGTTTTAATACCGACATGCGACCTTGTTTCTTAATCCTTTCAGTATCATCAATGAGAGAAGGAAATTTGTTCATTGGTGGGAACATTTTTCCTTACAAATTTCTTCCAATATAGGATATGCTTCAAACAATCCAGAAATAGCCTCCAAACCGATACCCTCCTTAAGTTCTTCACCACAAAGGGAGATATAAAATCTAGCATATTATAGGAAGATAAGAAGTAAATAAATAATGGAGGTATAGGAAGATAAGAAGTAGAAAATAAGAAGTAAAGAATGTTGGAAGAGAAAGATGAAGATAGTAGAAGAGAGAGATGAAACCACAAAATGGGATGATGGAGAAACCGAAGAGAGAAATGGAAGAAAAAAAAGTTGAAATGGAAAAATTGTTCACCTTTGATGGACAGGTAGGACGATTGAAAAGTAGACATGGGTAATGAAAACATGCGCTGGAATATGATAAGACTTGTAGTTACTTTTGATGCATAAAGCAAACCATAAGACATAAAAGTTAAAAAAGGTTATGTTTTAAAATGGTAAGTATTGATTACATAAAAAAGGAGCAAATGAAAATTTAATTCAATTAATTTTACAAAAATAGAGGTTGAATATGGATCAAAGCATTATAGTAGTTAGGAAAAAGATGAAAAAGACAATTTGTGCCCCAAAATGAATGATGTGGCATGAAAAGAAGAAATGTCAGTTTCGTAAAAATCAGAACAACTAATTTTTTTATATTATGGATGTGTCAAGCTCGATAATATAAAACGCACAGATAAACAATACATACAAATTTTGAAAGGATCTAGTTCTTTCGATAACTTCTACAAGTGGTCGCATTTTGAGAAGATCCAACCTCTGACTTGTCATATCTCTAAAAATGGTGAGAACAAGAATAGACAAAGCGCCAATAAAATAAAATTCGTAAAGAGGAAGATGATTGTTACTAACACTGTCAAGCAGAATGTTGAGGGTTATGTTACTGGAATGATGGATGACACTGTAGATGCAAACACTAAGTTTTGGCATAGAAAACTTGTGAATATGGGGAATATTATTGCAAAGAAGTTATCATAGGTATGTCTTATCTCAAAATTGAAGAAGGTAAAACTTATGATGACTCTCAAGTTAGGAAGCAAAACAATATGTCACATAAGAAGTTTAAACATCCTACCACTACTCGTGTTCATTAATCATTTCATATGAATCTCATGGGAATCATGAAATTTGAGAGCCTTGGAGGTAAAGAGATTTTTATTTGTCTATGAGGATGACTACTTCTGATACACCTGTGTTGATGTTATTCATTAGAATTATGATACCTTCTATTCTGGGCCGACCATATTCTCAGGGATTTTGCCTCATCTATAGAGATTCGACTACTACAAGGGAATAGAGAGAGAGAGAGAGAGAGAGAGAGAGAGAGAGAATTTTCTAACTTACACTATAATAAAATGAAGAAAAAAAGTTAAATTGGTTATAAACCTCCTAATTATAATTTTCTAGTGACTATTGTTGCAATGCTGATAGAAAGAATAATTTATCGACTCCACAAGGATTGATTATGTTTCAAAGATCGTTTAAAATTTTATATTACTTTAAGGTTGGTTTATCTATTTATGGATTGTATTACGAATACTTGAAATGAAAAATAGAAGAGAATAAAATTAAGTTTCAATGTTTAACAGTGACAAAATTTTGTTGGGGTTAGATTTCTTTGATTTACTAATATAATGTAGTACCATGACCAGTAATATGCAATTCTAGTTAGTCATTAATATTACTGCCTGAAGTTCACATCATAGCTCATGTGTGATTCAATGATATGAGGTCGTCGATATAACCTAATAGACTATCGTCTAGCCTGTTAACCAATACACCAGTACTAATTTTCAACGATAAATTTGGATACTAAACATAATCCTAAGTCTAAACTTTAGCATCCAATAGATGGAAAACTTGTATCTAGTAATGACTAATAACTTTTGAATACCAAGTCATACCATGAAAACATGTTTTAGGTAGCTAATCAAAAATAAACATCAAGAACAAAGAATCCATCAATATTAAAACTTAATAAGAATTACATAGAATGATGTTAGTTCCATGGTTTTGATATTGACTAAATTTCAGTAAAACATGGTCCTAAACAGATGTTGAGCAAGACGTTGTAACATCTGCGTCAACTATCATGACAATTCAGATGTTATGAGTTTTTCAACCAGATGTCAAGATAGACATTGTGACATCCTGGATTATGTACATCAGGCACTGCTGTTGTATATCTCTTGACATATTAATTTGATTTGATGATATCCTTTTAGATATTCCTCATCATTATGCACGGGTAATGGAGAAGATTTAGGAACAATATGCATATTTGATTTGTTTTCTTAAAAAGGATCTTGGAGACTTTTTATGAAGATTTAAAAAGATTTGTTCATATTTTTAAGAGAAGATTTAGCAGTTGCTTTGGAACATGAAGATTGGATCTTTTAAAGAGTCCAAGCCCATACAACAAGCATCTATAAATAAGAACTTGCTAGACCTAAAATAGCAAGCATTCACAAGAAGAAATTGTGGGTGCAATATAAGGGTTTTGGGAGTATTTTAGGTTTTTAGTGTTTGTGTTATTTGTATGTCATTCATGTAATTTTGATTTATTGAGTTGATTGATTTTTACTTGTTTATCAAGCTATTGTTCTACCTCTGATGCTTTTAAGAAAAGAGTTGAGTATTGTTCTTGGGTGGAGCTTTTAAGCAAAACCAAGTATTGTTCTTAGTTAAGAGTCTTAAGTAAGTATTGTGGTTTGGGAGTGTAATCTTCTGTTTTGATACTAGTTACTAGGATTATAACTAGTTTATTTATTACTGTGGTGATTGGAAGTGAGAGGTTCTCATATCTAGGAGGTTCCTAGGTGGAAGTTGCACATGGTAGTGATTAGGAGGAAAGTTGTAAATCGGGATTGTTTAGGCTTTTAACTAATACTGCATAGTGGATTTCCTTCCTGGCTTAGTAGCCTCCAAAGTAGGTGAGTTACACCAAACTGAGTTAACAATTGATTGTGTTATTTAAATTTTTTTAATTTATCTTTCTCCACAATCAAGTATTTTTATGTCAACAGGTGATGTTATAACATATGTCCTGACATCGCATCTTTTGTTAACACATCAGTTTTAACCATGGTTTTTAAAAAGTACCAGAATTTCAAACGACATGGTCGAGGTCAAAAGATAAGTATTAGGACAACAATATTTAAGCCTAAAAAAAGGAAATTATTCATGCTTAGTTATCGTAGCTTTACAATAAATCTCTAGAAGAAAGAATTTCAACGACATATGTTGATGATTCCTCGAACAGTGTTTTCTCCCTCAATCTTCCTCTGATATTCGCTCATATTGTGATTTGTGGTGAAAACCAAATTTCTCTAGGAGCTACCTCAAATACACATATATATTTCAAATGAGCTGCCACGCACCCCTATTTATAGGTTTTGAAAGGGTAGGCTCACTAAGCGCACCTCCAAGTCTCACATAGCACACCCCCTTTTTCATGGCTAAGTAATGCAAACTTACCTGCAACATTCCTTTCCGCCTTATCTCGTTAAGTGAACTGCTCACGGTTGCTTAGCCACCGAATTATTCCTTCACCTTTAAGTAACTTAGTCCTGAAGTCATGAATCACCTTTGCTTGATAAGTGTGCATCTATTTTGGGCTTAACAATGTTGGCACCTTTGCTTGCTAAGCATGCTTATGTTCTTGGCTTAGAGATCCTAGTTTTGTTAGGAAAGTACTTTGGCTTGTTCTTTGTGTTGCTTTGGTGATACATTCATCCTTTTTACTTATTTTAGTTAATACATCATTAGAATGTCCAAACATGCATTTTTTTTATCACTTTTCATTGACAAGTCAAGGGCTTTTCCATTAATTTTATGTAAAATAAATTAATGAAACTTATCAATTCTCCGTAACTTATCCTTTTGTTTGTCCTCAAACAAAATCCATTCAGATGGTTCAGATGAAGTTCAAAATGCATGTTTGAGAAGAAGTTATATGACTAGATCAAGAACTTTTGAGGAAGCATCAATTTTTGAAATGATTTTCTTTACAATGTGAGTTCAAAATCAACATGATAGTTATACTCAAAACATAGTATGAAGATAATAATTCTCTTTACCAAAATCGGATTTTAAAATATGTCTGGATTAAAATTCAATTACTCATTAAAATCATATTCTCGCTAATCATCTCTCAAAAAGGTCAGAGTTTCCATCATTGTTGATAATGCATAAACTATAGAAACATTTTGGTTTTTATATTGATAAAGAAATATTGGGTTTTTTTGCATTAAAAAATTCTAAATATAAGAGAAAAATTATTTTGGTATATGACTTTTTTTCAAAAAGTCTCTTTTCTTTTCTTTGTACTTTACAAAACTTTCTTTTTGGTGACTTTATTGTATTTGTATGCTTTGATATTTTGATTTCTTTTTTTTTTATTCTTTTTGTTATATCAAAGCATACTCTTTTTCTTAATTTTCACCATTTACTACCTGATTTTTCAAAACTTTTCCTTTTCTCTCAAAATTTATTGTTTGACATATCCTTGCATTTTTTACTGTTCTCCTATCCTTACGACAATGTGGTGAACATTGTTTTTATTTTAAAATTGGCTAAGTGTTGTAACTTTTAAAGAATAAATTTTTCACTTTTTAGGCTCAAATGTGGTGTCAAAGGATCATACCCTCACAAGGTAGGATTTTTGGTCAAGCAGTTCTTCACTCAATAACAAACAGTGCCTTAATCATATCCATGACTTCAGATATACCAAGTAATAGAAAGAATGATGTTATATCAACATAGTTAGTATGCATTTCTAATCTCGTTATTTATGTAAAATATGAGGTTGCATACAACTCACTTGGTTAGGCTTATATGATTCTTGAGATGTATTGAAATGTTTTCACTAGACAGTAGTAAAATTAAATATTTTGTAAGCAACTTATTCAAGGTTATGCTATAGTTCATAGATAACCAAACATCTCTCAATAATGGAGCATTTAAAATAAAAAAATGTATCATGTCATTCTTCCTGACTTTTTGTCAACAACCTAGTCTTTGTGATTCCTATGCATTTAGATTTTCAAGTAAATTAAACCATCTACAGACAACCGGTTCAAAAATAGAAACTTTTGAAATTTTCAAAATTTTCAAACAAGTACTTAATCATGATAAAAATGTAATCATATGTTTTGTGTAGGCTTTAGCTTCAATCATTCTTGTATTCTATCCCCTATTGAAAAGTTTGGCTTGTCCTCAAGTCATCAAAATAGATATGGTGTTGCATAGACCTTCGCTTATCCATAAAAACTTTGTTTAGCCAACAATATGTAGC